TCCAACACCGTACTTCATGCTCCTTCGAATCTCTTCCTCCGCGATGTGCCCGTCACACGTACAGCTCACTTTTACGCCTTAGTCTAGATTCTCTTTGATTTTCCTTTTTCCTAGATTTTCTCTACCTCCTCCTGTTCTAGTTGGCTCTTAACCATCTGATCTTTATCGTCTTTCCCCCTTTTTCTTCTTCCTGTCCTCTAAATTGTACGTTCTACCCTCCAACTTTGTTCTTTTTTGGGAGAAATTTACCTATTTCGCGACAAAACCTGTGATTAGATGGCCTGTGTATGGCAAAAGTTGATAAGAGACCTCTATGAAATAAAAATAAATTACTACTACTACCTTTTCTATTCTCTTTTCTTTAATTATAGCTCGTTTTTTTCTCTTCTTTTTCCACTACTACCTTATTTTTACTTTAGTTTCTCCTCCTCTCCTCCTCTTTTCTTCATTCTTCTCTTTTTCCCTCAAAATAAATGAATAATATTATGACTTTTACCTTTCTTGTCTTCTCTTCTCCTCTTCTCTCCCTTTCTCCCTTCACAAGTTTTTATCTTATCAATCTTTACTCGTCTACTTTCCATCGTGCTTCTCTATTTCCTTAATTTCTCATTTTCCTAATCTCTTTTCCTCGTCATTTCATACGTATTCTTTCTTTGACTCTTTCTCTGCATCCTCTCATCCAGTTCCTTTTCCCCACATTTCTTTACCTCTCTTTTTCCCTGTCGTTCATGTGCTTTCTCTCTTATTTTTTTCAATTTCTTCTCTTTTCTGTCCTTTATAACCGATTCCTTTTCATCTCCTCTTTCGTAATTGTTTCTGTCTTAAATTGGAAGACCAAATTCTAAAGTGGATTTCTACTACATACATTCAACTGATTCTCTAATTGTTTCTGGTTTTTTTTTTTTTACAGAATGTCTGAGTCATGAACATTTGCTTGGCCGTACTGCTCCTGCCGGCAGGTAAGATTAATGTCTAGCACATTTATTTACTTTTACTTAGTTCACTTCATCTTCCTAATTTTAAGTAATATTTCATTCAGTCGTCCACAATGCATTTTTCTTTGTCTCTTTCTTCCCTTCTAAAATAAATTATAGGATATTTATAGAAGATTCTCAAGATTCCCTTTATACCTATTAAAAATTTGTAAAAATAGAATACAGATTCATAATTGGACTGCATTTTGAAATTTGGAACTATCAATACTGGCTCTTCTGGAAAAACACTTATGTTCATAGGAAAACTATTGGCACATACATTGTGTTTAAACCGTGCCAGAATTTATAGTTCCAAATTGCGAAATGTAGTCCAATTGTTATGCTGTACACTTACTGCAGACTTGTCAATTTCAGAGCCCCTTCAATTAGTGGACAATACTTCCCCCACTCCTTAGCGTTAAAATAGTCGCATTCAGAATTTTAACCAATAACGCGTTAGAAAAAAAGATGCTTTCCCCCCAAATATGTTCTCTAACTTTACCTCCATTGCATTTCATACAATTTCGCAAGCATTCCAGTAGGTAAACTTTAAAATGCAAACTTCTTTCTTTTGAATGTTCAAATTTTGAACCTTCTACTTTGAATTTTGAGTGCCTAAAGTACTCACAACATTACACGCCGAATGGAGAGTTCTCTAAATTCGATACTGAGTCGGCATTCCTTCGGATGAGCGAAAATAGACACAAGCTCCGCAATATTGCCGTCCGGTGCCACGAACACCGATTTCTCCCCAATTCGCAATGTGCACAATGAGAAATCCGGCAACATTGATCCCGGAGATCCGCGCCGAATATTCGGAGCAATCAATACGCGAAAATGTAATTCTCTCGGGGAAGAAAACCCGGCGGATAAGCTAACGCCAGCCTAACGCAACTCGCTAAAGTAGCCCCCCCCCTTCCCCCCAGCAGTACTCGCCGCACTGTAGGACAAGCCTCTAAGGGTTGTGCTTCTTTGTGCGAAATGAGTTTAAAACTGAACCTGCAAATTTAGATGGTTGTTTCGTCACATTTTAAATTTTAAGGGGTTTCAACGAGAGGGAATTTCACAAGGAAGCCTATCGACGGTGAAACTACCAGCGGACCGATTATTGAAATTGATAGACAAAGAAGACATAAGGAGTATAAAGCAATCCTATTTGTTGAATTGGGTGGTTCCTATAGACTAAGGGAGAAAATGATAGACTAACCTTCGGGTCTCTCGTGGGTTGCCGTCAGTTAGTCTATCACCTAGTCCTTTGTCCATTGCAACCACCCTCTTCCACCAATAGGATCCCTCGATATCTCTTTTGTCTCCTTTGTCTATTGCTTTGTCTATCAATGTCAATAATCACCCCGCAGACCACGTATCTCGGTTTGCGACGTTGTAAACTTCCTATTATACTTTATTTTTTAAATGGACAGCTGCTCAACGTCAATACCTGAAAACTTCCGTGTGTTTCCTCTTTATGCGAGGAAAATTTTCAACCATTACAACCAACCGCTTCCACGAATAGAATTGTCCTCCTTTCCGTCTTGTCTATAGTTTCGTCTATTAATTTCAATAATCATCCCGCTTGCAGCTGATTATGAAAGAGATCCTAGAGATATTTCATTATTTTCCTCGTTGGCCTGTAACAGCCATCAATTTTAACCAAAAGGATCGCTCCATTTTTCTTTCCTCCTCTTTGTCTATCGCGTTGTCTATCAACTAAAATGATCAGCCCGCTGTCCCACTTGAGCTGAGTGTCCGACCTCTCTTAACAACTCACTCCACCTTGCGACGCACAATGAATCAAGCCAATAGGAGAGATCGGACAAAATTTGGAAACTTTCAACTCCTCCGTTTATACACAATGGAGATGTTACATGTGTGAGGAATTTGCGATTTAACTATTAATTTTTATGTAAAAGTTCGCGAGGAACACGATGGTGCCACTGATTACTTCTCCCAAGCTCAAGAAAAGCTCTCAACTTGAGGCCAAAATGGAGGGGATATCCCACGCTGTCCTGAGGGTCCATACCTCTACAGTCTACACTAAGACAAACTCTCCATGCAAAGATAGGGAACAAATACATTGACAGGGCTGCCACCTTATTTGGGGACTCTAAAACTGAAATCACGGCAACACTGCTAATGTATTTGCTCCCTATCTTTGCATGGAGAGTTTGTATTGAAGTAGACGTGGACTCTCAAGATAGCGTGGGATATCCCCTCCATTTATGCCTCAACTTGAGAGCTTTTTTTGAGCTTGGGAGTTGATTTCAGAGAAAACCAGTGGCGCCATCGATTTTCTCGCGAACTTTTACGTAAGAATCAACAGTCAAATCGCAAATTCCTCACACATACAACATCTTTAATAGAGAAGGCAGACATGGAATGTTTGACTAAAACTGAGAATTTTGATGTTCATTTCGTCACATTTTAAAGTTCAAGGGGTGCAACAATGAGAAAATTTCACGAGGAAACCAATAAAACTACTTTTGGAACCTCAAAGTTTTGTATAAACAAAGTCTCGCAAACTTTTACATAATCAATAGTCAAATCGCAAATTCCTCACACTTGCAACATCTCCATTTTGAGGTTCTATGAGTGGTTCCATTGGGTTTCCTCGTGGAATTTTCTCATAGAGGCATCTCCTAAGGTTCAAAATGTGACGAAATAAACATGAAAATTTGCAGTTTTAGTCACAAATTTCATGTCCAACCTCTGTAATTGACTCGATCCACTGTGCGCCGCGTCGTATTAAATGCCATCGCCCGAGTCGGGCTGTAAATTCTGGCCGAGCTAGCCGGGAACTAACAAGGGACTTGGTTGCTTTTTTAAGGGGATGTTGTGAAGCGCCCTTATACGCGTTGTCCCCGGGAATTTAATATCTCCGAGAACCCTGGTGTTCCACGGTGTATAAGTTATGGCGCTGCTTGCGAGATGAGAGGGGCCGTAACTACCCCACTCTTGCGTCGCGTCGCGCTGGAAACAACGATAATCAAATGGACAGTATTACGCCGAAAGGAACAAGCTTTTTGAAGGTGAAATTCCGGGCGCACGTACCTCAGTTTCCGGCGTTGTAGACTTTCTGTCTTAAATAATTTTTCCCAAAAAAAGCTTATCGACGTCGTTGTTTGCACCTAAAAATAACATCCAGTCAATAATTCCCATTGGGATGCATTGGGCGGCAATACTTTTCAGGTGCAAAAACCGACTTTGATAAGCTTTTCTTGGGCAAAAATCAACTATGCCAGAAAATCTCATGATAATTCTCATTGCGTCAACCTCTCATTTAAGTGACGGGGCGTTTCTTTAAACGCCACGTTTTTAAACCTTATTTAACTAACTAACTAACTAACTTGATACAGTTTGGAACAAGACAATTTTCTGTTGACTCAGCGAAAATTCTTGTCCAGGAATTTTTAATTGGAAATCCTATTTATTCAACAGAAAATTTTTCTCCGTGTGAAAGTGACCAAAATTATTGCTCTCTGCGTAAAATTGACTGTGATAAGGATTCATATATTGATGGCCAAAGTGCGAAACCTTATCTCCGTTTGCGACGTTGCATACCTCTTGTCAAACTTTATTTTTTCGTTGGAAAACTAGTCAACAAAACTGCTATGATTTTTCCTCGTTATCAGCAGAATATTTCGTAAAATTTTCAAGTTGTGTAGTTGACTTGTTTCTCATGGAAAAAATCAAGTAGAAGCGAAGATTTTGAAAAAATCCCATGGAGGTACGTGGTTTCGCACTGTAGCCATCTATATTTCGTCAGTTTCCAAGTAAGAGAATATCGCTCCATTCCAAGATCACAAAGTTGACGGTTCAATTTTTTACAATAATGTATCAGTGCAATTTTTGTCCAAAGTTTCTCTGATTTTTGCATGAGATCTCGAGAAATATCAGTACAACTTTCAGTGAGGCATTCCAAAGATTTTTCTGATAAAAATGCAATTTTCGAGGAAAAATTTGGCAACATTGAAATGACGTTACTTTCTTTCGTGGGGGAATGACGTTTTAAGAGCCACTTTGTATTCCCTCGAGAAAAAGGGAAAATTCGTCGTCCCCCAGACGAAAGAACGTAACTCTATTCCAAGGTTGCAACATTGACTCAAAAAATTTAAATTTTAACAAGAATTCATCTGTGTCATTTTTGTCAAAAATTTGTCTGATTTTCGCATGAGATCTGAAAGAAAATCAGTGACATTTTCAATTAAAATCAGGCAAAATTCTCCAGGTAAAAATGCAAATTGCGAGGCGAAATTTGATAACCTTGAAATATACTTAAGTTCTTTTGTGAGAGAAACGACTCATTAGGCAAAGCGGAATGTAGTTAGGCTGATACTATTCAAGCCGTTCCTGTCAGAGATTTCATCGTGGTCAACGAACGGAACATATAATTCGCGAGCGAAATGAGAAGAGGTGGCCATGAATTAATGAACATCAGGAATACTAAGGATTAACACTCAGTCGTCAGAGTGACAACATTTCTAACTGCAAAAACTTATGTTTCGTCACGTTTTGATAAAGCAACGACAGTTGGTTCGCGTTAAGCAGAGAGGAACCAAGCTACGTCAGCTTTTGCCAAATTTCATTTGGCAACTTAATTTTTTACATGGAAACGGTTGTGCGGATTTTTCTGGAAATCCCTGTGAATTTTCTTCAAAGAATGAAGCAAATTCCTTTAAATTTTTAAAGGAATCTGCACAAACGTACTCTTGTGAAATAATTGAAGTGCCCAATTAAATTTGGCAATACCTGATTTGACTCTGTTTCTTTCTGCTAAGCTCGATCCAGTTATACGGGTTTCTCTCTTTTCATCAGGGTGTCTACAAGTCCGGAAATAGTATTTTTTTTTTTTTTTTTTTTTTTTTTTTTTTTGAGAGCTTGCGCACTCCAGGTATAGTTCATTGGCCTTAGTCGTGTAGACAAACAGCCACCGCTAAGTGATGGGAAGATTACAACAACAGTAGAAACGGAAGTACAAAGGAAGAAAC